ATCTATCTATCTATCTATCTATCTATCTATCTATCTATCTATCTAATCTCTATCTCATCTATCTATCTCATCTCTATCTCATCTATCTTATCTCTCTCTCTCTCTCATCTGTGTGTGTGTGTGTGTGTCTATCATCTATCTAATCTATCCATCCACCCATCATATCTCTCTTTCATATCTCATCTCTTTGTCTTTCTCTCTATCTGTCCATCCATCTATCTCTCACTCTTTCTCATCTTTCTCTGTCATCTCTATATCTATCTACTTGTCATCTCTCTCTCTCCATTCTTCCTCTCTCTCATCAGCATCCTCTCTCTCTCTGTCATCTATGTATCATCTAACAAACCCTTTTGAGGGGGGGGGGGTTGTCATAACTTGGAACAGTTGCTAAGCGACCCATCATAGGATGAGGATGCCCCACAAAAGGGAATGCTGGGGTGTGTGGGTGTGTGAACCGTGTGCTTCCAATGGTAGCAGCAACTCGCCTTTTGCAAACAGGAGGAAGCCCCCCGAGGGTCCCACCACTTCAGGGCCTGGAAAATTGCCTGAAAGAGATTGCCCCCAGCAGAGACTTCCTTGTGGCCTCCAGTCCTGCAGGACGCAGCTTCTGCACTCCAAAGCGGCCAGGAATGGAGGAGGCTCACTCACCAAGGCCTTGGGCTGCAGGTAAAGAGGGAAGCTGCGAGAAAATCTGGTTCCGGAGGTCATTGAGAGCTTGGCCTAATGGTTATCACCAAGATTCTAGTCCTCTATGGTGACTAGAGAATCGAGGCTGGGTATGTGGGCAGGAAGATGGAATTCTTCTGTGGCTGCCCTCAAGCGGTTTCCCCCAGCTCTTGTGGTGCAACAAACCAGCATTTGTCAGCCTTAACTATCTTCAGATGTGTGAACTATAACTCCCTGAATTCCCTGCTGGAGAATTCTGGGAGTTGAAGTCCATGGATGATAGATACAATGGATGGATTGACGAATAGATACAATGGATGGATTGGCGAATAGATACAATGGATGGGTTGATGGATGATAAATATGATGGATGGAAGAATGGATGGATGATAGATGGATGGATGAGTTGGCGAATAGATACTATAGATAAATTGATCGAAAAATAGATACTATAAATAGATTGATGAAAGATAAGTGCGATGAATGGATGAATTGGCGAATAGATACAATGGATGGGTTGATGGATGATAGATATGATGGATGGAAGAATGGATGAATAGATACAATGGATGGATGAATTGACGAGTAGATACTATAGATAAATTGATTGAAAAATAGATACTGTAAATAGATTGATGGAAGATAAATGCAATGGATGGATGAATTGATGAATAGATATGATGGATGGTTGATAAATATGATGGATTGATGGATGATAGATATAACGGATGGATTGATGAATAGATGGATGATATACAATAGATGGATGGATGAATAGATTGATCAGCTAGATAAATATAGAGATCAATTGATGGAAGATAGATAGATAGATAGATAGATAGATAGATAGATAGATAGATAGATAGATAGATAGATAGATATTTAGATAGATGATAGATATTTAGATATTTAGAGATAGATAGATAGATAGATAGATAGATGATAGATAGATAGATAGATAGATAGATGTAAGTAGGTAGGTAGGTAGGTATGTAGGTATGTAGGTAGGTAGGTAGGTAGATAGATGGATAGATAGATAGATAGATATTTAGATAGATGATAGATATTTAGATATTTAGAGATAGATAGATAGATAGATAGATAGATAGATAGATAGATAGATAGAT